ATCGATCCACACAATCAATAATGGTTTTAAAGCTCCGAACAAGATCCCGTTTGACATTTGACACCCTAAAAAGAGGGTATTTTTAACCTATGGCCAAGTTTTTGTAACTCAACACGCGTTTAGATGGCTTCGGTACGACCGATTTTACGAAGTTACAATGTTCGTGTACCTATTAGAGACAATAAGATTTGACATCAAACGGAACTATTCCAACCTCTCGTTCCCACCGCTGCAACTCCTGTGTAGCCAGGATATACAGCTTGACCGCCAATAACCCAACCAGTGAAGGCCAAGTTTGCCTCGGGGGAAAGTTAAACTGTCATTGGACCCGCAACGAAATTACCCAGAAGAACATAGGAGGAGTTCGAAGTTAAGGTTCGACTTCGCTCCATTGCAAAGCGGATGACAGGTGATTTGACATCAGCGTTAAGGCCCGGTTTCCAAGGCGGAGCAGAGCGGAGAAGTGTCGGTCCATCAAATTATATACAACAAACTTTACTTACACGTGTTTTTGGCTAGTGACACCAAGCGATCGATACTTTTCTATCGATACTGTAGATTCTATAGCTAGTTTTATCAACATCTCAATAGTGGAGCTGTACACAGCCAAACTCGGCTAACCGAAATGACAACCGTTGGTAAACAAACCTTTTAAGAACTTTGTTATGAGAAGTTTCTACGTAAGTGTGAAACTTAACGTATTTCGACACCGAATTCTCCTGAGGGTTTTAGAGGTGCCTACTTTCAGCGTATGAACTGCATTTTTTGTAATGGCTTGCACATTAAGCGAGTGTCGAATAAAATTATAATTCAAGTGGACAAATAATATTCTAAACTTGCAATTATTAATGATGATGCCGATGGGGCAGCAAGGTTCTGGAATGGAGGCCGCGTACCGGAAAACGCTGCGTGAACGTTTACAAGGTGGACCGACGACCAATTTACTTTATTTACCTCAAAAGCAGGGTCCCAATCATAATATTCGTGGTATTTGTTTGTTTGTCACGCCTAAAGGAAAACTTTTCAAGTTACAAACTTCCATAAAAGTTGTTATGCAAAAAACTCGGCAAAATTGCCTGCAGATTACTTGCTTCTTACGAATTTCGCCAAATTCTATTTAAGAAGATTGTAGAGTTTTCGTACGAGTAAAAGAGAGCACCTGATTTGCTGTATTTTTATTTCCTAGGAGTACCTACCTAAGTGGTAACTACGAGTATACTATGTACTGTGGGTCGAGTGTGAGTTTACATCAAACGCCGTTTAAAAATTGTATGAAAATTTTAGTTTTGTAAAGAATTGTGTAAAGAAATCGTAATCATTTGACAGTTCATAACATACGATAAAGTCAGTTAAAAGCAAAGCGTTTGACAGAATAATCGTACGTTAAGAACTGTCAAATGTTATCGATTGCTTTATGCAATTCCACCGATATGTGATGGAAAACCATCGGTTCATTAAGTCAGACACCAGTTGACTTTTCAATTTCTTCACAAAATTCATTTCGGGTGTTTCCTTAACTAATTCAATATAAAACTTTTGACGCGAATTGCCTCGAATTCCTCAAATAAATTTGCATTCGATATAAATGTCGCAGCGTAGAGATGGGGCGAGATTAAAATATCGATAATAATATTATTGTATCTTCTCTACTTCACCGTATGCTTGCGATGAACTCAAAGACGACTGAACAGATTTTTCATGCGGTATTCACATAATTTGACACAGAGAAAAACACCAGATTAAAATAGTTTTTATCAGAAAAATCGATAATCTCGCGAGCAAAGCCACGAGAAAAACCTAACTACTGTAATCTTACAGCTTTTTATTGTACAAACTTTAATATTGCCGTACTCGATTCGCCTGAGAAAGTGTGAATGGCAGAAAAATATTCCAATTCTAGCCTTTATTATTTCGAACCTGCTCCAGGTCAGCGATTTGTTAAATCACCAACTGTTGTTGAAATGGCGTTGCATAGATAGAAATTGTAATGTTTGGTACCATTTTACGTTTAAGTTTGACTTATTTTGTCTGAAATAATCGTAAACTCGTAACTCCATCGTAACTGACGGCCGATGAGGCAGCAAGGTTTTGGAGTAGAGGCCACGTTCCGGAAAGCGCAGCGTAGGACAAGGTGGACCGACGACCTCATTAAGTAAAGGTAGCAGGAAGACGCTGGTTGCAGGCCGCCACCAACCGGCAATCGGGGGAGGCCTATGTTCAGCAGTGGACGTCCTATAGCTGAAATGATGATGATGAATCGTAAATTACCGATTAAGTAAAAGAAGTTTGACCACACACAGGCTCATTAAAAATATCGATAAAAATTAGTTTATAATCATCCCATCACTAGCACTGTCCATGGCCCAACACAAAAGCGAGAAAGAATCATTAGTCATTTAACTTTTGTTTAAAACGTATTATAATGGAAGAAATGCCGCCCCAAGAATTCCAATTGGATTCCAGAGCGTCTGGAATTATTCCATTCTTTCCTTATCAAAGATTGGAAAACAATCAGCGGGGATAATTCAAAGCGTTTGAAAAACAGAATCATTATCCACAAAATATAATCTTTCAGTCTTTATAAAATCCTTACAATAAAAAAAATAATTTCTTTATTTATGTAATTGAAAGATTACTAGTTTGTTAGACTGACTTCGCTGTCAAAAAAGTGTTTTTGACTAACGCCCTTGGTCAAAACCACTTTTGACGGGATAATTCAAAACCAATTTTTAAAATAACTTAAAAAAATCGAACTGGCTAGCGCGGGAATCGAACCCACGACCTTTCGCTTGCCGTTCACTTCTAATTTAGTTTGAGAAGCGACTCTAATCGCTAAGAAATTTTGATAAAAACCACTTTTAACTGATTTTAGCCGTCAGAAGTGGTTATGACCGATAATGAGTTTTAACTGTAACATATTTGGCTATAGATTATCTGTCAACACACCCTGTGTTTTGTGCCCTGTGTAACTAGAAGTATTATAGTTAGATCGTTTCATCCACGAAGACGCGCCCCACTAATTTTTGATCGAGGGATGCGGGGAGTTTGATCCGAGCAATCATTATTGTAGTGTGCGTGTGCACTCATGGATAATTTAGCGTGTACCGATAACACTCAAAACATTAGCGGAAGAATGGTGGGGCGCGTCTTCATGGATAAAACGATCTATACCTACAACTACAACTACAGTCAGCGTCAAATACACTCGACATCAAATAAATCGACCCTCCCGCGACAAGCAATTTCAAACGTATGCATCCCCACTTCCCACCAATATTGGCACCATTTAAAAGCCTAGTTCTAAACTTCATTTCATTAAAGGAAAGGTTTTTACCCCAAAAATGTGTCTGGAAGTATCCAGAGTCACTTCTTCAAAAAATAGGTAGTTAAAGGACGCGTTACGCTTGAGCCAACTTTTGTGGCTATAAAACTGTTAAGTTGGGATTAATCTTGATTAAAGAGGACACGTGAGATCATTATTTGGTTTTATAACCATAAAAATTGGTCTGATTGAACCCAGAGGTGAGCCCAAAGTGAGGTCTTTTTTCAAGTCACATTTATGGTAGGTATATGTTAATCATTTATTAAGAAATGAAATGTGTTTTTCTTTAAGGATAGTTATTGGGCTTTCAAATAACACCAATATTGTTGGGGTGCCATGATTGTGTCAGAAGAAAATCTTTAAAGTTCGCGTCGCGGGAGGGTCGATTTATTTGATGTCGAGTGTATTTTGGGACACCAAAAGTGGCCAAAAAAAGTTGCGAACGTTTTGGCTACAGGCTGTCACGAACTATATGACGCTGACTGTACATAAACGTCTTTTTTATCGTAGGTGCCTTTCTATCTCTATTATATAGACATTAACGAGCAAAAACAATTCTTCCTGAGAATTCCCTATTTCCTCGTACATCCTTTGGGAATAAATGCCTTGGAAAAATAGCACTTTGGGTACAAAAATGTTCAGTAAGAAATAAATGGTAGTACTTAATTATTTATTAATAGCCTAGATGGATTAATAAATCGTATTAAAATATTTTGCTGGCTTTAAATAAAATAATTTTAATTAACTAGCTTTCCAGATCTTTTTTTTGAACAAACTTTGGACCCCTTTTCATCCGCTTGGGATGAATTTCGGAAAATCATTTCTTAGCGCGGATGCCTATACTGGATCGACCGATAGTCTAAAATAACTAATTTGCCAAAGGAGAAGTCGCAAAGTCCATAGAAAATTACCGAATGTTCGACAGCTGAGGAAAATTGTCTGCCATGGCAGTGTAAATGTTATTCAAATAAATAAATAAAAAAAGAGATTATCGTAGCCTTTTACTATCTAGACACGCGGAAGTATGTCAAGCCAAGTTCAAGCAAAGGAACTGGCTAGCCAGCACCGAGTGTAATATTACACGAACCACTTGGTGCCACTTTTGACCCTTTTTTTCTATAAAACTATTACTAATCTGTTTTTTCTGTTCTAAAACTATTATCTATTATTTTCACGAATTATACCTACTTTTTTTTAAGATTATTAGTAATTTGTTATTACATAAATTACTAAGCTAAACAATAATATGCTTGCATCACGAGTGAGCTCACCACAATAGTCGAGCGGCGGCGGGGACCGAACCCGCGTTCCCCGGATCACGAATCGGCCAGTCCGACCCCTTCACCGTTCGGCTATCGTGGCTTCAAAAGCTTCTTATAATCTTTAAAGATGTATATAAATTATTGGTAGAATAGGCGAACTTAATGTCAAAAGGTATGCTCTGCCAATAAACCTTCGTTAAGAATAACCTACTATAGTCTGGTCCGTGAGCACGTAGAATTTTGTCCAATGACACCAAGCTACCCATCCTTATCGCTCGCGCGTAATTATGTTGCTGTTGCGCTCGCACACTCACTGCGGGCGCCCGTAGCACAGTCGCGAGGTTGGGTAGCTTGGGGTCATTGGACAAAATTCTACGTGCTCGCAGACCGGGCTTTACCTATCTCTGTTGTTACAGATCGAGAGGCGCACGCGCAGTCTGGGTGATGTTGCGTCAACATGTCCCGTTGGTTGTGGCTGCTGCTGCTGGAGCTTGTCGCCGCTTTGTCGCCGGTCGTTAAGATTGGTGAGTCATACAGGGTGTCACAGAATGGGTGAATCAAACTGCTAGGGGAGACTATCATTAAAAAATATGAAAAAAAAAATTTGACTTCGGATTTTTTTAAAATAAAGTGCTCTAAACTCGAAATTTAGTCATTATTTTCAAAAGTTTGTTTACAGATAAACGAAGCGATCATGTACAATTAATATAAGTAAGAAAAAAGTACAAATAAACTCCAAACGCAGCAATTATAGCCAGAAACTTAGACAAAGCTGATTTAGTTTCAGTTTAAAAAAAAAAAATTTTTTGTGTCCTTGCGCTTTATTTTTTTTCATATTTTTTAGGGATAGTACTACATTAGTAGAGCTACCTCCCCTATCAGTTTGATTCACTCATTCTGGGACACCCTGTATATGTGCTTCGTTCGTTCGTTCCTTTCAGCCAAATGACGTCCACCGCTGGACAAAGGCCTCCCCCAAGGTTTTCTACAATGAACGGTCCTGCGCTGCCCGCATCTAGGCTCTTCCCGTGACCCTTACCAGATCGTCGGTCCACCTAGTAGGAGGCTTGCCCACGCTACGTCTTCCAGCCCGTGGTGCCACTCGAGAACTTTCCTGCCCCAACGGCCATCGTCTCTACGAGCTATGTGCCCCGGCCACTGCCACTTGATTTTAGCAATTTTGCGAGCTATGTTGGTTTCTTTGGTTCTCCTGCTTATGTGCTTCGCATGGATCATAATCCATGTGGTTTTATTTAGTTATTTGGGACTTGGAGCTGTTGGAAATTATCGCCGTTCGATCGAAAGATTGGTGGTCATATTATGCATCACGTGGATCATTAAGTGCCCCCTACTTCGGTATATTAAGGCACTTACGACTTTAACATTTTATTTAAAAATAACCAAGCATGATATCAGTATGAAAACTTTTGTATGCTAAACTTTGGTCTTTTGACAGTAACTTAATACATAAATTATAGTAATATAGTTTGAACTTTTTTTAATATTAATTGTTCTGTGGACCTCTTGTTTGGATCCTGTTTCGTGATAAAATTTTGCTCTGATTCTAAGTTCGTGAACTCATGTCCCCTATTTCGGGATAACGTTTTATGGATCGAGTTAGGATATTTTAATAATGATTAAGGGTTTAATAAATTTAAAAACAAAAATATACATTTAGAATAAAGGAATTGTGTGAAATTGACGATATTACTTACCTGAAATATTTATGAGAAATAATGTGAGTCTAGCTAGGTACGTACCTACGTATAAAATTTTGATTTGTTAATTCTAACAATATGTGAAAATATTTATATAACCATTAGAAATGTGGGGGGGGGGGCTGCCCCCCCCCTCGTACCCATGAAATTTTGATTTGTTATTTCTGACGATAAGTATGTGAAAATATTTATACAAGCCATGAGAAATGTGGGGGGGCGCCCCCCCTTCCCCCTAATCCCATTTCTGGAGCTGCTTCAAGTGAGGGTAGCCCCCCCTGAAAATAACCCGAGATACGCCAATGATTCATAATAAAAAGTAAGTAATTAATAATTTTTTTAGGTACCTAGGTCAGTATTAAAAAAACTAAAAAATATGTCGATTTCTTTGATGGTATGTATCATAAAAGTACCTAACACTATACATTTATATATCACGAACTTGGAAAAAGTAACATTAATACGGTTTCTTTTTTCGTGATATTGATTATTCCAAATTGCCCAAGTAAAATTCATGGATTTTTGTCAAATTGTGTCAATTAACTATTATCTATCCCATATATTACACAAATAAACAAAGATAAATAAAACAAATCGGATTAAAACCAAAATTGCACTGGTAGTACTTATGCTAATTTATCTTAAAATTGGTGATTTATGTGAACTTCAAACTCGTGTTATATAAATTCTAGTGAACGAAACATATACCGAATTTAAGTCATGAGAAACTTAAATAAATGCATTGTTTGTTTCATAACTTACATTTAAATTATCATAAATAATTATTTAAAAACCAAGCATCAAAATGTTATCCATAATATCCTTGATTCGGTAGTGTCACGAAATAGGGGACACCCGAAAAATAAAATGTACGCTATTTCGTGAGTCAATTAATCGCAATTTTAAAGGAATTCTACGTTTTCTTATAACTTTTTTCTAAGCCAAATCAATTGTCAAGGAACACATGAAACCACTATTACAAGTTTTATTCAAATGGGCGTTCCTTCGCCTTTCTATAAGCTTAAGAAGTTGGAGCGCTAACCTTAGGGTGAGAGCAACCTTTGCACGCCGCACGGCTGTTTTTGGCTCTCTGAGAGTTTGAAGCTTCGTATTGCTCTCATTTTTGGCGCCACAATGTTGGTACTTGGTTTTTTAGATAGCATAATAGAGTTTTTGTAGTAATGAAGAATTTTTATAAATAATATTCCATTTGCTTATTATTTGAGCTAGAAAAAAAACTTACGAACTTACGTACTATCACGAACTAGTAGCCGTTTACCTTATGTGATCCACGGGCGAATTCTAGTTTTAAGCTGCTGCTGTAGAGAACTGTCGCTGTCATATGAACATCGCGTGAATCACATGTGATTCATGTCCTAACTGTCACATTTGACGTTTCCAGGGGCGATTTTCACGGAAGAAGCGCGCGGGGGCAGCGCGGAGCTTGCCTTCAAATACGCGGTGTATCGGATCAACAAGGAAAGAAGTCTCCTGCCCAATAGTACCCTGGTGTATGATATACAGTACACACCGGCGAGAGACTCGTTTAGGACTTATAAGAAAGGTAAGCACCATTTTACGTTTTTGCCAAGAAACTTTAAAGAAAAAATAAAAAAACATTTTTTTTTCTGGACTTCTAAAGGACTTATCAACTCGGAAAGGGATCAACAACGCCATTCGCGTGCCATCAACCACGAGGCGAGGCGATTACGTTATGGTGCGGATAAGTGTGCGTTGCAGTATTGGAGTTTCATACAAAGAATAGGTACCCACCGCCTTGAATTGATACGGTTACGATCCCTTTCCGGGTAGATTCTATACTAATATTATAAAGAAAGAGGTAAAGTGTGTGTGTTTGTATATTTGTTAAATTGTAAGGGGTAATCTCGGGATCTACTGAACCAATTTTAAAACTTCTTTCACCAATAGAAAGTCACATTATTGCTGAGTGTCACAGGTTATATGTATAAAAAAGCGAAAAATTCCACACGGGCGAAGCCGCGGGCGGAAAGCTAGTACCTATTAAATAAACAACACGTAAGACATCGTCCCAACTAATATTATAAATGCGAAAGTAACTCTGTCTGTCTGTCTGTCTGTCTGTCTGTCTGTCTGTCTGTCTGTCTGTCTGTTACGCTTTCCCGCTTAAACCTCGCAACCGATTTTGATGAAATTTGGCATAGAGATAGTTTGAGTCCCGGGAAAGAATATAGGATAGTTTTTATCCCGGTTTTTGAAACAGGGACGCGCGCGATAAAGTTTTTCTGTGACAGACAAAATTCCACGCGGGCGAAGCCGCGGGCGGAAAGCTAGTAGTAAATAAATAGTTCCCGGCATTCTATTTCGTTTAAGGATTGAGATATTTTCTGTTAAATACTTGAAATGAAATCACTCATACGATAGTGCCAAAAAGAACCCAAAAAAGCCAAACTATAAAATAAAAATGGCTACGTCTCAAAACTTAAAGCCCCAATTTGCGCCGTTCTGCATAAAAACTAGTTTAAATTTAGCTTCCGCGCCGAGGGTCCTTGTAGTGGCCTCTTCCGGTGGCCATATTGCTTTCAGGCGGAGGCTTGACCTCTTTCAGGCTTTTTTATTGCGAATAATACCGCGGTTATTGTGTTCTTTAGCTTAAATACGGTTTTGTGGGTTGTTGACGGGTTTTCACGTTTTGTTGTGAAAAAGTGTGAAAGAAGTTTTGTTGTAAAATAATGAGAAATAATACACGCATTCTACTTATGAAAGAATTTCCAAAGGGAGGGGAGGAATCGGTAGTTAGAGAATCCTCAAACATTATATTCAAAAAGTTATAGATTTTACATTTTCGAACGACGACGAACGATAACGAACGAAGGCAGGTATTTGACCACAATCGCACCTGATGTTATGTGGGATGCTTAGGATTCTAGGAGTACTTATTCTGTGCTTCAGGTTAAAGTGTTAGTTAAATAAATAAATGACCGCAGAACACATCCAGCGTAGTAAATCCATGACATAGAGTTCAAAATTCATTGCAGTCTTTATTATTTTTCAACCTACCTTTATTCCTTCCAGCCTGCTCGCAGGTTCTTACAATATACTGTTAGGTNCGGAGCGACGATCGACCTATCTCACCTCCCCAATGGTCGAAGCGAGACTGACGTTAACCGAATAGAATGCTGTGATTGGTTGCTGGTGTTCGGTTTAACGGAAATTTTGTATTATTACTCAAAATTTTAGGTACCTAAAATCGTGTGACCAACGTATTTCGCTTTCCCAATTCAAAATAATTATAAGAAGATATTTTTTTGACTGTTGTGTGGAAAGTATATTTAATTACGATGATTTTAGTATATGATACACACAAATTGAATGAAAATTGTGAATGCAGTAACCAAATGTTTCATTGCAACCGAAGGTGTGACACGATGAGAACGCGAAAAATGACCCCGTTTTTTATCGTTTCATGTGATTTTTTCGTATTATTTTTGCTTCTATTACGATAAAATTAATTTTGTATGTAGCTAAATAGATGTTTTATCATCTGATTTCAAAGTTATTGTTCTAACTTATACCGTTTATGAACTATTACTGTGTGACCATCAAATTTGAGTGTAAATGAGAAGTACCCGAATAACTCATTTTATGGCGCATGTACACTATGCGCGGTATAGTCTAAACAGTATAACACGCACTTTGGGTTGTGCAGGCTCGCGCTTCGTCTCGGTCATTTCTCGCATAGTGTACTTACTTGCGCTATTACAAATAATCACGTATGCAATCGGTATAAATATGTACCAAAATAAAAGGCCATATACAGAAAGAAAACTGGAAACTTATAAGCGCTTACCAGCGCTGGACGCTGCCATATAAAATGCCATTCAACCTGCTTCCTTTGTGAACGAACGGACCAGCGCTGACAAGCGCTGGTAAGCGCTTATAAGTTTCCAGCTTTCTTTCTGTATGCGGCTTTACACTATGTATAGGATACTCACAGTAGGTGCAACCTCATCTTGATGGAGATTTAGCAAAGATATTAGAGCCAACCCATAAGCCAACCTCTTATATACACTATCAATGTTCATAGTCTTCTGTGTTGCTACACTTACAAATAAATTTACCCATTAATTGACAGTTACTCTGAATTAACCAACTTTTAAAACTTTGAGTCAATAAAAAAATATTTTCATTTTTAGGCTTCCGTGGGTACCCAAAGGATCAAAACGGGACCCTATAGACTAATGCTCGTTTTCACCATCAATCCTTAATTTTTAAGTATTTTCAAAAGGCTCACTTAAAAATTAGGGATGGATGGTGAAAACGGACATAAGAGCTAATGAACGCCAACTATAGTCATTTTATAAAAGCTGAAAGTTTGCCAGCGCATGCTCTTAACATAGGTAAGAACGTTGGTGCATCATGAAGTCTGGGCTATCGTGACTTTGGCAGTTACCCTTAAATTATGGTCTGGCAAAGGATTCGAGCGGTCAAAATTCTCTGACTGAGAAGGAAACAACTTCTGATTATTAGTGCCTAAATATACAGCGTGAGTCTTCATAAAGGGCTTATATTATAAAAATGGGTTTAGTTTCACCCTTTTTCATATATGTGAACTTTATGAAGACTCATCATCATCATCATCATCATCTCAGTCATAGGACGTCCACTGCTGAACATAGGCCTCCCCCAATGCTTTTCATGTTACCCGGTTGGTAGCGGCCTGCGTCCAGCGCCTTCCTGCTATCTTTCTGGCTAGGTTCTGGAGTGGAGTCTGCGTACCGGAAAACGCAGCGTGGGACGTCCACCCACAAGGTGGACCGACGACATCATAAAAGTTATGAAGACACACTGTTTAAAATCAGTTTTATGGTAGGTATAAGTAAACGGGATCCTGCAAAAAACGGTTCCTGCAAAAAATGGGATGTCTCTCCAACCTAAATTAGTTTGACAGGAGATGTGGGCTTTCCCTGAAATGGGGTAAACTTCAATCATGGCCACCCAGATAGCGTAGTTTGTTTGTATACAAAATTCATCTGAGAATTGCTTTCATTTGAGCATTACGAAATATCTTTTCATTTGAACATGGTACTTATCATAATGTTTGGTTTTCAAGCGACAGGATGATTTCAAATTCTTGAAATGTCTCGAATGTATTTATAGAGAACAAGTGACCCGCCCCGGCTTCGCATGGGTGCTAAGTATTAATTAAACCTTGCTCATGAACCACTCTATCTATTAAAAAAACCGCATCAAAATCCATTGCGTAGTTTTAAAGATCTAAGCATACATAGGGACAGAGCGGAAAGCGACTTTGTTTTATACTATGTAGTGACACGTAGTGATGAGCCTGTGAACCCAGACCTTCGTTATTTTATAAAGTAGAAAGTTCGCCCGCGATCCTTGGTATTTTTTTCCAAATCAAGCAAAATCATATTAAAGTTAGTAGGTACGTTGTACAAATTGACGGATATTATAAGTCAGCGGCCGCCCACGATTTCGTACGCGTGGACCCCGTTTTACCTCCTTAGGGGTGGAGTTTTGTAAAATCCGTTCTTAGCGGATGTTAGTCCGTTCTAGGTTGTGGTCTAGGTGTTATGATGACCCAAGCTGCGCTACCATCGTTCAACTACATGGTTTCCAACATGGCATAAATCGGAACCAGCGATTCGGTATTGACGGTGGCGCCCTACTGTCAATGTCATCGATAGGACAGTCCAATATTTTGGAACTATATATTTTCCGAGATTTCGTCATGAGTGAGTGAGTCAGTCAGTTTCGCTTTTTGACAGTTTTTGTCAGGCATTAAGTTTGTTTAGAACGGTATAACATTGTTCATTCTGTTAGGTTATACATAATTATAATATACTTGAGTTAGACTGTCTAATAATATTATTAATGTTTTCTAAGCAATAACTTTCAGTGTCCATTTAATTGTCTCATTATGATAATTTTACACTGCACTTCCGGTTTGTGATCTCATGTTGTGATTTGTAGTCTTGTATAAATTAAAATCAAAACAGTAAAATGTTAATATCAATTTTATTTAAAATAATGATTTATTACAATATTTTTAGAACATTGTTATAATAAGAAATAATTTATATCAAAATGCGCCGGGGTTTCCGCTTCCGATCACACTGTAGCGAAAACCACGTTAGCATTTTGTGGCCAATGGCGGGCAGTCGATGGTGAACTATCGTGTCGAACGGACTATTCTGCCGAAATGTAATTGTGTAATACTGATGAGTAATATTGTTGTACAAGTTATTCAATAAATACTATGGAAAGTATCAACCAGCGTTTGAACTTAAAAGGAGGATAAA